TTAAACAGGAACTGAAACCTGAAACTATACACTCACCGGCAGGCTGAGCTTGACAGCATCCACGGGTTCATGGAAAGGCCAGGCAAAGTGGTGCCTCCACAAAGATTTGAGCAGGACTTTCTGCAGGAACTGCAGTTGGTTGGTCATCCTCCCCTGGCGGTTGGGGTCCTTCACCGGGGGCTGCGGGGGCCCGGAAGGGGTCATCTGGCTGTGGGGGGGCATTCCAGGACTCTCAAAGCCCTCGTAGAGCAGTGAAGGTTTTCGGATGCGTTTTCCAGCTGTGCCACAGTTCTGATCCATCATTATTCCCAACATACTGGCATCAGGCCCAACATGGGAGCTGCAGAGAGCACAGTTACAAAGGAACTGAGTATTTTGGTTTGAGCTGTGATGATGAAATTCTATTAAGTTTTTCTTCTCATTATAGAAAGGTTACAATGAATATTCTGTGCTGTACATCCTGGGATTACCATGTAAGCTAATCAACTTTCATAATAAATAAGTGTTCCCTTGTTGACGTATGCTTCCTGTTATCATGTCAAATTTGATACAAAGTCAAAAAGGATACTACACGTTTGTTAGCAAGCACCCATCTGCCTGACCCTGAGCGCTCACACTGGGTGAACTGGTACAAGCACTTCCTCTTCTACACGTCTCACTCAGACTTAAACCCAACACCCATTTCCATGCTTTAAAAAAAACAAAACAACAACTTAGATTGTGGGAGGAGTTTAAGCTGCCATGTTACTGTAATGACTGGAATAGTGTAGAAAATTTACACACAAACTCTAATTCCTAACCTTGTCTACCACAAGCCACCCATTAGTCATTAACACAGGATTGTGATTATATATAAACAGAGCTTAGGGTACACATTAACTTGTCACAGTATTAACACTAAGCCACTCCTTCTTGTTCTGTGTTTGACAGGTGCGAGACACCGACTGTCTAAACTCGTTCTCTGCAACCATGACTGTACCTATGAGCGCCTGGTGACTTCAGAGTTATGTTTAGATGACAGGAGAAAACGGTTCTATACAAAAGTCACATTACCAATACGTAACACGACACTTTGCACCAGCGAAGGAAGACCATCTCTGTTGAACTCTGGTGTTGACCTGACTTACCATTGTGCCTCCATGTGTACCTTTAATAACACTAAGGTGTAAAGAAAGCATATCCTTATACACTCTAGAGCCAAACAGCATAGTTACGGGTACTGGATATAAAGTAACAGTAGTTGTATTTTATGTCATTAACTGTGCAGTATTTTCAGAGTCTGGTTACTTGAATGGGGACTGTTGGTGGCATTAGCATCAAATCTACAGTGACACTAATGCTAGTATTTTTAATTTAAAAAGAAAAATGTAAAAACCAGCAATTCTGTTTATTCAGTTGTCCTCTTTCAGTGCTGCAAAGTATTGACTCACCATGATCCACCTTCACTGGCCCACCATCTGAACCACAAGACTTACAAGACTAACCAAGGCCAGAGGGGGTATATAAGGTCACCCGCCCGAAAACTGGTTTCTACCAAAAACAGCCTGAAACAGCTGGTGTTGTATTATTGGATCCTGCACCATTACCATTAAGTCAAAACAGAAAATTGTTGTTGTTTTTTAGTTCCACATTTAAGCAAACAGTGCAAGTAATATAACCCATGGGATTAGTATCTTAAGTCTCCTATGCATAGCCTAAGGGTATGTTTGCACTGATCCACCCTACACACAAAATGTAAGAAGAATTAGCAACATGATACAACAAAAGGAGTGCAAAGCTATTGTAAACCAGTCATTTTAAATGATACAACTGTTGGAAACACATTTGACAGTTAGTGTACTTTATTATTAAAAAGGGAAATAATCATGTACAAAATATAACAGCACTACACAAAAAAACATGTTGGCCCAAAAAATATTTAACAAATTAGGAGACAAAAAATAGATTCTCCATTAAAGTATTAAAAATGTATCATATTTAGAGACAGTTTTTTGGCATTATCGGATTAGTTCAAAATGATAGCAGCTGCTAACTACTGGGGCTAGTGTGCGCTGTAACCAGGCAACCAAGGGAAACACCCAACATATATACTAATAACCCTACATTAAAAATAACATTTACCAGAGACATTGACAGGCTCTCTGTATGTGTGACAATACTACTTTAATAATACATAAATAACTGGTAGTGGTGCTACTGATAACGGAGCGTTAGCCGTTATGCTAGAATGGAGTCGTTACACCGGCGATCACAACAACCCCATGACCGCCACATGGCTACAACAACAAACCAGCGAAACACGCAGTGACTCTGCCGTGGCTGTGCGCCCGACCCCCCTATGTATGTACTTGCACAACGATCAAGTTTAACTATGGTTTTGTGCTACACAAATGCCACATTTATACATTAGATAAAGCCTTCTTAAAAGATGCCAGGTCAGCATTGTCAGTTGTCACTGTCAATAAACGCAGACATACAGCACCAAACGTGATACTTACGCGTCTCATGAGCAACCCTTTGGGCTCAGGCTAGAGCTAGTAATGCTAACTGCTAGACAGTGTGAGAGAGCGGCCAACGGCAGCCGAAAATGGCGCCGGCACAGCGCTCAACAGTCGCAGTTTGTTATGTTAAAAAGCCCAAAACAACCTTACTTCTTCCACATGAAAGTCACTTCTAATGCCTGTAACGACGCGATAAAGTCCTTCCTGTAGCATACTCAGCGTCCACCTCTCTTCAACTGGCATTACAGCAAACAGGGTGCCCGTTCCGTTATATTTAAAATAAATAACCATAAATGTTCACAATATTCCGACTGATGGAAAGCTGAGAGTCAGTTATGCCGGTAGATACCTGTCAATGAGCGGGTTAACAGCCATTTCCATCGGGATGGATCCGGATTCTGTTTTTAGCTACACTCAAACCAGGATCCGTCTCCAGTCGTCAGATCTCTCCGTTCCCCGCCACGGAGCTCTCTTTCAAATCTGCTTCGCTGAAATGGCGACTATGCGACTACACCCGGCTTTTTATAGACCCGTCGCAAAACCCATTGGACACACCACCCCAAAACGTCCCCGCCCCTTGGATTTCTACTGGCTGTTCACGACGTCAGTTAAAATGACCACACCCCTGGATACTGAAACTCTCCAACCTGCAATTCAGGTCAGCCTATTCGCAAGATTTTCCTGTCCGTCAAATAAGTTGCACAACACTATTGGTCCACCCTTCTACAGCCTTTAAGATATACTGTATGCAACTGGCTCCGCCATATTATCCCCCACAGAAAGCGAGGGCAAGGAAGCCAGCCTGCTCCATATCATATTACATTACGTCAACGTGTTGAGAGCGACGACGGGTATTGGTCAAAGCTGCTGTAACGCGGGCTTTCAGGGTAAATACCATGAAGCCTATTGGTTGTTGCATCCAGTCACGCGTACCCTCGAAGAGCCAAGGGCTTCTTCCCACGAGCGTTGTACTAAACAGTACATCCGCATTTTTTTTATCTAAGGGAAACGAAGCACAGCCGCCATCTTTAAGCACGTTGAGAGACAGTAATATGATCAAATAACCCTCAACTCAAAACACACAATGTCAAGAAAAGCCTGTAAAACGCCGTATATTCGATTTACACGCGCAAACGGTGTAAGATCCCAACACTTGGTGAAGAAAGCGCCACAATTTTAACAGTCAGACCAGCCAAGCCTGTAAAACGAGGCCTCCACGACCCGCAGTTACACGCTGTGAAAGGGCGCAGATCAGGCCTTACACATAATTTAACTAAACGATGTTTGTGCTGAAGCCATCATTTACATCTTTCATCAGCAATAAAAACCTAACACGAACACCTATAAGAAGGTCACAGAAACCAACGCCTGAATGACACAGCAGTTTTCATTAACAACCTCATCCAAAGCCTGATTAAATCAAGCTCCAACCGAAATATTTACAACTACGTTAACCAATACAGTCCAAGGGAATAATTAAATTAAAGATTGGACTATTGTTTTAAAGATTAAACCATCAAACCACACCTTTGTGGTTCAACCAAACAATAAAAGACCAAATAACATAAAGATAATAGTACAAAAATCGTACTTAATAAACCTATATAAGCGGCTTCTTTAAAAAAAAAAAAAAACGACTTAAACTCATTGAAACGACGACACACAAAAGGTTACCTAACCACTGCGCCCATCCCCCACACCAAGGTTACAAATTCCCTGCAATGTCACTGAAATACACGATACAGCACTGGCACATATTAATACAGCTTCAAATATTTCTAACGTTTTCATAACATTGTGCTGTAAAAACAAACATTAAACTAAACATTTTTAAAAATATATATAAAAAATATAAAATGAATGTTGAGTATAAGTCAATAAAGTCTGGAATGTAAAGTAAGTAAGAAATTCCAATGATAAATCCCAAAATAATGCGAAACCTTTCTTCAAATTATCTTCTTGTCTTCCACCTCGATACTTTTTAACCAACACATTTCCCTCAAACATGTCCGCCTTCTTCCCCCATTCCCTGCGCAGGGTGGGGGAGGGGAGTCATGTGACGACTCGTGCCCGTTCATCAAATCTGGACACGTGGCATTCTGCAAACACCGCGATAAAATGTGTTCAACGCGAGCCCGAGCTCATAAAAACACCGTGTCCATATCCAGAGAGACGCGCAGATTATTCGCCACAATTAGGCGAATAAAGTTGTCGAAATATCCGAACAAAGGACATACTTTCCATCGGATTTGGCTCGTTCTGATTGGCCAGGTGTGACCACGTGACTAAAAACGATTGCAGTTTTACTGATCGCGCTGTTTGCCGAACTCTTGCACCTGTAATCCGTTTATGATCGCCATAATAATCCACATCTCATTTGTCGGAGTTTGTCAAAGAAAAATACTGACATCTGTTTTTTTTCTTCTGATCGTGATTGCTGTCGATCTGCGTCTGCGTTGCACCATGAAACAATGCGCATGCGCTTATCCCACGTAGACGCCTTGCCAACAATGCCCCCAGTGTGCAAGAGCGACGCTGATCCAGGAGCAGTTTTACCCATAAAGTACGTTCTTGTGTTCTGCACTGAGTGTTCCCTGGAAGGAGGTGGGATTCAGCTGGAAGTGATGAGTGTTATTTTACAGATTAAAGTAGGAAAAGGGGATAAACAGGGGGTTTTATATAAATAGTTTTTTAACAACAATTTAACTTGTTCTGACATTAAACTACAATCTATTCCTTCCCCTACCCTGTCCTATCTAGTATGTATGTCTCTTTAGACGCATATCCATCATCTCCGCTTTTGTCTCTATTTTTTAATGTAATTTTGAAAAATGCTTTTGGTATTTCTCTAGTCTTGTTATTTTTCAGGTATTATGTGCCTGTGGAGTGTTATGTACACCTTGTGTGTATTTGTATTTCAAATAAGACTTGAAAATGGACAATAAGCTTCACTGAAGTAGTCCCTGATGAGTCGAGACTTTTGCATCACGTTAAAGTGGAGTTATCATTTCACTGCTGGATTCCAATGAGATTATCAGACACGTAACTGTGTTATCAAAAATAATGAAAGCAACATCTTTCGATCCCAGATTTCAGTTAGCAGGTAATTCATTTAGACAGCAGTTATTCAAAACCATGTTCCCCCAGGCACACTCAGGGAACAGCTGGTGATCTGTTGGATGTTAGATAAAAACTCAATCTGCACAATAAGGGTGTGATTATTGTGCAACCGGCCTGAAAATGTTGCACAGTGGATGGAAACTGAACTGCACATCCTGTATGTGATCATATCTTTGTATCGACTGACTGTTTATTGTTAAACAAATATTTTTACTGGTGAGCTTATAGAGGCAATATTGATAATGACAACAAAGATGCACATTTCATTATTTTGTTTACATAATTCTTCTTTATCAGTCTTGTAACTTTTGTAAATCACATTTTAACTGTAAACACTTGCATTCACCAGTGCATGCTGAAATTTGATAGGTGGTGTATATGTACTGCAGTATTTGTTGATAAGTATCTCATAGAATATACAGATACTCTATTTATAGTACAGTTACTGACTTTGTCTTTCTTGGTTCTCACTATAAAGAATATAATTTTGACTGAGACACATGTTGTTGTTGATGTCATAAGTTTAATAGTCAGTGGAGCTTTTTGATCCTCTGTCCACTGCTAAACATTTATACATATTTGCAACTTTATCTTAAAAAGTTTTACTTTTAATTTGAAACATCTGAAGTGAAACTTTTACCTGTTAAAATCTAATTTGTATCTGAAATAAAAATTATAAAAGAAAACCATTTGAACCGCAGGATTTTATTCAAGAATGAAAAAGTGAAACTGTATTTAGTGAAAGTGAAAGCCTCATGAAGGACTCATCATGAGTCATTTTTGTTCATGGACAAATAACATGGATGTGTAAGTATAACCACTGTGGATGTGGAAATAACGTCCCTGTGGATATCTGAAATGGTTTTTTTAATTAAAAAGAACTGAATTACCAAATAATCAACAATCCACAGGCCTGTACACTTAAACTAGGTGTACTTCTAGATATCATAGCATTAGATTTAAGTAGAGTGTACGTTTAAAGTTGGAGATATCTTGAAATAATCTCCCAAATGTAATGCATTAGACTATTGCTCAGGCTCATATAATGATAACCTGAAGAAATACTGTGAAGTATATCCAGAATTACATAACATATGGAATCAGCGATGGTAAAGAGTAGGTCAGTTACATTAATGCCTTTATGTTTGTTTCTTGCAGGGGAAGAAGGATCAGCCTTCAAGAAACAGTAATGTAGGCAGAGGAAGAGGAGGGAGGATTGCGTCAGAATCAGCCTCCTCTGACTCATCAGCCCTGCTCTCTCCCTGACAAACACACACTCCCCCCTCTGTCTCCCGCTCTCTGTATCCATGTTTGACTGCGTAATCTTGTCACATGAGAGCAATCAGTCCAGAAACAGTTGCCAGGGAAGCTTTTTCCTTCCTTACAAAAAGACAGACTCAGGGATCTTAGATGTTGTTAACTTGATTGCACTACAATAAACGCTTTCTGGGTGCCTGGGTTTTGTCCTCGTGTTTGCGTAACCTTGTATTTGCAGCTCTCTGCTTCAGTCCATTCACTCATTATGGCTGACGAGCCTTCCCTAGCAACAACAGTTCCTTTTACTGCTGATGTGAGGAGCAGTGTTCGGATACAGAAGCTTACTGTGCAGTTCAGGTTCCCGTTCAGCAGCATTTCTGTGCTGATATCGCTTAAACATCCTTCTCCCTGCAAACGCTCATGTCACCCACATGCTAACTCATGCTTACTATGTCAACAGTGGGGCTCACATGTGCAGAATCACATGACTTGCTGATTTTCCATTCGCTGCTTTTTTCATTTGCATCCCAATGTGCCACTGTTTGCTTTGCAAAGCTGAACACATTTGCACTGTTTCCATTGGGCTGATTGTGTTATTGATGCACATGGCTCTATTATTTCATTTTTCACTTTGCTAACATGCACTCACAGAAACTGTCGTGGTGCTGGGTCGTTGACCCAGCGTTTTGTGCTTTATGGTTATTTTCTTCTGTTCTAGTTATTCTGATTTTGGTGTTCTGTGTCCTCCCCTTGTGCCCTGTTCGTGTTCTGGATTTCCTGTTTTATTTTGAAGGTCTGTGTCTGTTGTCATTGTGTTCAGCTTGTATCCTCCAGTCGTCTTTGTGTACTAGGATCAGCTGTTCTTCCCTCCTGTGTGTGATTACCTGATTTGCTTGTGTGTGAGTGGGTGTCGGTCTGTGCTTGTTTGTGTTCCATGGTGTTTCGGTCCTCTCTCTGCACTGCACCCCGTTTCTTATGTTCTCAGGTTTGTTATTTAGTTTTCCCAGTTTAGGTTTCTTTAGTCATTTCTCACTGTCAGCTCCGTCACCCTATTATTTGTAAATAAACGTCACTTGCATTATCAGTCAACTGCCTGCATTTTGGGTCCTTTTCCCTCCAACACCACACGGCTCGCCTCGACAGCCGTGACAGAAACAGAACCTGGGGCTCAGCAGAAGTCTGTTTCTGTCCCTACAGGTACCGTCTACACAAATGTGGGCTTAATGCACCTCAAGACAACAATGCGCCTTTTCAAGGACCACAAAGGTGTTTGTAGGTTTCCATATTAGCACCATTTTAAGGTGTGGAGATATTGAGGTAAAAGATACATCAATATACGGCATATTATATTTTGCAGTTTTTAGGTTTTCACAGTTTTCTATGTTTTTAAGTTACAGGACAAACTTTAAATGCATTCTGTCAGTCTTGTATGTTAGTGTTGGGTTAGCAAAGACTGGATGGATGCAGGCTGTTTGCCTTTGTTCTTCTTGTTCCTGCTGGGTTTTTTTCCCAGGTGCTCCAGATAAGCTTCATATAAAACATTTTAGGTTAACTGGTCTTATAAACTGTTTTCTAAGACTAGAAAAGTGTTGTAAATGCTTCACTTTCAGTGTGAGTGTATAATTGAATGAAAATATCTGAAATGAATGGGTAGGCCTACTCATGCATGCAGCTGTGAAGATTTTTGCACTGCTGCATTAGGTACAAAATCCCCACCAGAGGTTCAAAACGGTCTCATTGTTAGAAGATACGAATCAGGAGGATACAAACGAGCGCAATCCTGTCGAGGCAGCAACAGGAGGATGTTAGGATGATGATCACAGCCCTAAAGGTGTAATATGAATATTGATTCTTCTCTCACTCACTCACTCACTCACACACACACACACACACACACACTTGTTGAGTGTCATTTACATTTTCATTTAGCGCAGCTTTTACACTTTCTCTAACATCCCTTTCACTTTTGCTGTCACAGATACAGAAAATCCTCTAAGCTTCTTATTGTATCACATTCACGTTGAGATTTACTCATTGATACTTTCAGCAGTTTAAAGAGCAATGATCCTGAAACTGAAAGACTCACAGGCTGGACTCCTGCAAGAAGTAACGACTAGGAAGACAACAGTAGCTTAATTATGCATTCATGCAAAGGGAGTTGAGTGAAACTGAGTAGG